AGCCGATTCTGGTGTCGACGCCACTGCCGGAACTGCTGCTGGCGTGGGGGGTGCAAGCGGCGCTGCTGGTGCTGCTGAAGTTGTTGCTGTGAAGGTCTCTGTGACTTTGGCTGCCGCCTTGTAAGCTCAGACATCTTCCATGTCTATGTACCCGTGGGCTTTGACCATTAGTTGCTCATAATTGGCGACTAGCTTCTTGGCAAGCGAGTCGACCAACTCGTTGCTCTGCAAGCCGGCCACGAGAGCAGACATAGTGACTGCACACTTTAGGTTGTCATCCTTAAAGCCATACCGCACAGGGCCACTAAAATTTCAAATACAAACCGACGCATTGACATTCACCTCAATCTTGCAGGATATCCTTCTATTCTTCACCAAATTTTGCTTTATTTATTTATTTATTTGTTGTTCGACATGTATTGCTTCTGCTTCCACTGTTCATTATAGTCACCTTGGTAAAAACCCTCGCAAACATCAGTGGCTACAAATTCTCATACGTAACATACATGACTACATCATTCTTCAGTGATCCAAGGGAAATTATTGTTGCCCCGTTCACTGGTGCTCCCTAGCCACAGAGCAGGTCATCAATCTCTCTCATCTCACGACGCAAAATTTTCAACAAGAACACAATCTCTTGATACCTAGGATTTGAGCTGCTATCTGCAAAGAATGTAACAACAACTCCATTCAACTCAACAAAACTCCACCCAGGTGCCTTCCTCAATCCAAGATGCCTCATCGTTGCCCATACATCCCCAACACCATCCCATTGGCTCATTGCAGCATAACTATGTGCCAATTGCACATAATTCCCTGCACTCTCAGGTCTTAACTCAACGATCTCCTTTGCAATCACCTCTGCAAGATTATTATACCCATTTAACCTACAAGCATCAAGAACTATACCAAGCACATCGGCATTTGGCTTAATTGGCATTGTTCTAATGAACTTTATGGCTTCTTCAACCCTTTTTGCTTTGCACAATAGATCGATAACACAAGCACAGTGCTCGATTCTTGGTACGGTACCAAAGTCTTTTATCGATTTGAATATCGTCAGGCCTTGAGATACTAGGCCAGAGTGATTGCAGGCTGAGAGAATAGACATGTACATAACATCATTCGGCACAATCCCCAGTTTGAGGAAATCTGAATACATCTCAAGAGCATCTTTCCCCATTCCGTGGCTTCCATATCCTCCGATAATTGCACTCCATGACACTAAGTCTTGCTCTGGCATTAGGTCAAAGCATTTTTGAGCTGTTTTGAGATCTCCACATTTTGAGTACATGTCGACCAAAGATGTATCTAAAGAGATGCAGTTCTTCAGCTCGTGCCTGAACATAAAAGCGTGAAGTAGTCTTCCATGCATTAGAGCTCCTAATGAGGCACAAGATTGTAGAAGGGAGGCAACAGTGATTGTGTCTGGCCTTTGGAAAACCAATCTCATTCTTGTAAAAAGATCAAAGGCTTCTTCTAGATGTCCATTTTGAGCATAGCCTGAGACAATTGCATTCCACGAAACCAAGTCTTTTTCATCCATTTTCTCAAAAATAAGATACGACTGTGTTAAATGGCCACATTTTGCATACATAGTGATAAGCGAGTTCTTAGCTGCAATATCCATTGACAATCTCCTCCTTATAATGAAACAATGAATCGATGCTCCAACTAATAACAAGCTAAGCTGAGCACAAGCCGATAGAACACTAGCTACCGTTGTGGTTGCAGGCATTACTCCTGACTTCAACATCCTCTGAAAAACAACCAAAGCTTTATCAGCTCCATCATTCTGAACCAAACCCGAGATCATTGCAGTCCATAACACAACATCCCTATCTGCTGCATTTTCGAAGATAAGAAATGCATACTTATGGTTCCCAAACTTGAGATAGAAGCTTATAAGCCCAGTCTCAATCTGGGTATCAAATTGCAAACCCGAGTTTATAACCAATGCATGAATAGACTTGCCTAATCTATTCAATCCTTCTCCATGATTACCAATCGAAGATAGTAAAGACCCATACGTTTGATGATCCGGGCATTCCCCTTTCACCCGCATCTCTTTGAACAAACTTGCACATTCTCTCACTTCTCCCACTCTGGAGTACCCCACAATCATAGAATTCCACGAAACAACATCCTTACAATCCATCTCATCGAACAATAACCTTGCAAGATCCAATCTTTCTAACTTCCCATAAACATTAACCATCGAATTAGCAAGAACCAAGTCCTTATCAAACCCAAATCTAACTGCACATCCGTGGACACACTCCAACTGATCTAATTTCGATAACCCAGACAGGAAACCAATCAAAGTTACTGAATTGGGTCTGATTCCTTCGTATAGCATTCTGTTGCACATTGAAAATGCAGTGTTGGGGTCTCCAGAGAGGGAATATGCGGCAATGATGGAGGACCACGGGACAATGTTTCTATCGGGCATTGTGTTGAATACGTTGCTGGCGTCGAGAATTCGGTGGGTTTTGGAGTAGAAGTTGAGGAGGGAGGAGGAGATGTAGGGGTCAGAGGCGAGTTTGAGAGCGATGGAGAGTTGGTGGAGGGAGAGGCCGAGGGGGATGAGGTTGAGGGTGGCGGCGAGCTTGAGGAGAGGAGGGAAGGAATGGGGGTGGGGAGAGGGGGGGAGAGAGAGGAGGCGGCGGCGGAGATGAGGAGATGAGAGATGACTGGGAGCGGGTTTGGATTGATCATGGATTCTTTTTTCCATCACGCATCTACAAGATTTTTCGATGTGGGATTGAGAGGGGGAAAGTACACTCGTCACGGTCCTTACTCCTTGCACATTGTGATCGCCTTTCTCTCTCCTTATTGACATATCTTCCAATATTAAACCCCAACCCTTTAAAATTTCAAGATTAGCCCCCCACTTTTCATACTTTGAAATTGGCCGCCCAAATCTTTGTAAGTAATTTGAACTCATCCTTCTGGTCAGGGATTGATTGAAATTGAGGGAGCATTCCACAGAAGAACGCACCTGGCGGGCGAGCAGGCGCTGGCAAGGTCAAACTTGCCTGCAGGCTAAGGCGTGGAGGCGAGATCGAACTCGCCTTTAGGTGAGCAGGTGCAGGTGAGGTCGAATTCGCCTGTAGGCGAGGGAGTCGCTTGTCGTGTGCGCGGGGCTCGAGGTGATCGCAAGGCTCGCCTGATTCGGCGTCGAGTGGACGCCAGCTGGATCGGAGGTCGCCTGCAATAGTGGACGCCAGCTGGAGGAGAGGCTCGTCCTAGGGTTTCCCTATAAAAGGGAAACCCTCGTTCTCGAGCGCGATGTCCCGTTCTCATTTATTGTGGAGAAGGGGTTGGTGTATTTAAAGGGGGTTTCTTTGGTTATTGAAGAGAGAGATTGAACACTGTTTTAAGTTAAAAACACTATTATTGTTTTGAGAGATCTCAAGCTTGAGATCTTCTCTCTTATTTGTAATTTCTTGTGATTAATAAGATATTATTTGTGCCTCTCCCGTGGACGTAGGTAAATTGCTGAACCACGTAAAATATCTGTGTTTGTGATTGGCTTGTCATATTTGTTGGATTGTACCCGAGTTGGGTTTGTTAATCTTCTCCCGTGCTTACGGACTCGTTCGGTATGCGAGCATGCTTCCGCAAAGGCGCGCAACATCCACCATATTAAATGCATTTTGACGCCATGCCAATAACCACTTATATCTTTCTACGCGCATTTAGACCCAAGCACAAAAAAATTCGTAGGAGCACAAATACCGCGAAGAAACTATGAGTCTAATTGAATCTGCTGATTTTGAGCATGATTTTGGTGGATTTTTGTGTTGATTTTGAAATCCTTAGTGTAATCTAGTTGCCCACCTGTAGTTAACCACTCACCCAACCGTGGTTAATAATTCCGATAGTAGGCATAATAGAGGGACCAATTTCAAAATATGGAGATATGGGGGGACTAATTTCAAAATATGAAAACGTGATACCCTAATATGAAGGGGGGAAAAACACCCAATGTTTCAACGATCTTCCTTTTAGCAGATTGTTGGACTTAAACAAATTGAACACAAAGGTTAAACAAACGACCTTTCTTTGTTCTTTGCTTAATCTTTCTTTGTTCTTTGCTTAATCTGCCACAAATTTTGATTTACGCTTCGAGCTGTTGTGAGCTGAAGTTAGCAATAACGAAAGCCTCCGTTTCCGCGAACTTGAAGAACTTAGCTTTGAACTCAATCGCAATTACGCAAACATAGATTAGACAAGCAAACCATAAGGCCCGCTACTACAACACAGCATCATCTTCAACCGAACATTAGCTTAAGAGCCGGCCGATATGAATAAATGAGCATGATGTCACAAACGTCGAGGATACAGGTTGGCAGTTTTCAATCAGATTCCGGCAGTAGTCATCACATATCCGCCAGTTTATTCGTCAAACTAATCTGCTAACATGTTCGGAAGTCATCGCAGAGGAACGAGTACTTACTCATCCACAATTGCGAAGCGAGACCGAGCCAATTCAACAGTAGCAGGGCCCTCATCATTCAATCCTGTTTCCTTTCTCCACATCATGCCGTCTGGCGAGTCACTGATCATGAAAGCATGTCAGTGATTTTGCTGCCTGAAAAATAAATCAACGCGCTGTTCAAAGATCATGTTGACATAGCTCAGGTGGATAATTAACCAGCATCAAACTTGTGGGTGCAAATCTCCATTCCGAGGTACCCCAAACTTGATCCCTCTCTCGCCTTACTTGTGGATGTTAATCATGTAAAAACGGCAAATGAATTGAGAAAAACGTGAAGAATAAGCAAAACAGACTCCACCACACCCTGGTGTGGTGTCTGCCACACCGGTGGTATAGAATCTGTTATGTTTGCCATGAGTGTGGTGTCTACCACACCCTGGTGTGGCAGAAACTGCCCTGTTTGCTATGGGTATGGTGTGTGCCACACCAGGGTGTGGCAGACTCATTTTTTAGAATCCTAATCTATTTGGGATTGTGTTTTGTTATAAATAGAACCATATTTTTTAGGGTTTCTAAAAGAAAGAATTAGCATTGTTTTGAGCACTTTGAGAGGGAGATATTGTGAGGGAGTTGAGAGCTTTGGTTAGGGTTATATTTGAGTGGTTTTGTGAGTTGTAACTCATTGTATTTCTCCTCCATATAGTGACATCTCCTCATCCTCTCCTCGTGGACGTAGGCAATTGCCGAACCACGTAAATTCCTATGTTTCTGTGTGATTTTGGTCGTTATTTTGTGAATTACACTCGTGTTTGGTTTTGGTTTTCTTCTCTCATCGCTCACTGACTCGTTTGGTTGTCGAGTACGCTTCTGCACGACACGCAACAAGTGGTATCAGAGCACAACAATTGGTATCAGAGCTTAGATTTCAGATCTAGGGTTTTGGATTAGGTGAAGGAAGATTCAATTGGAAGCTTGGTTCTTGGAGTTCTAAGCTTCGGTGGAGTTAGGGTTTGAAGTTGCCGTTGAAGATCTCGCTTTCCTCGTGTGGTTAGGAGTTCTATTTGGGTAACTTCTAAATTCTATAAAGTTTAAATCTTTCTTTGTAATTTGGAGTTTGTGATTATGGGTGAAGAAGTTGGTGAAAGCAGCAAGATGGCGGGTACAGTTCAAGTTTGTTTTCAGAACACTAAGATTAGTATGGTGAAATATGACGACAAAATCAATTTTGGTTTGTGGATGAGCAACGTACAGGATGCGCTTAATGCTCAAAATTTAGAGGAGACCATCATGATCGATGAGAGGCCACTTAAATATGAAGAGGCGATATGGAAAAAGATGAATATGAACGCTTATGGGATGATCAGGTCTTGTTTGGAACATGAGCTGAAATATGATGTGATTGGGGTAACATCTATAATGAAGATGTGGGAAATTTTCAACAATAAGTACCTTACGAAGAGTGTTGAGAACCGTTTGTACTTGTTGCGAAGATTATTCAGATTTTAGATGTCCAGAGGCACCTCGCTTGAGACTCATGTGAACAACTACACTAAGTTGTTGTCGGACTTGGCGAACGTGGATAAGAAGATCACGGATGAATACAAGCCTATTTTTCTTTTGGGCTCCTTATCGGATGAGGAGTATGATACCATCGTGCTTACTTTGTTGAACGAGATATCTTCTATCACTTATAGTGAAGTGACTAACGCATTGACGAACTACGATTTGAGGAGGAAGGATAAGGAGACTTCCCGCGCTAGTACTTCAGGAGTGGTCTTGTCGACGAGAGGTAGAAGCCCATATCTGAAAGGTGAAAATAGAGGAAGGTCAAAATCAAGAAGTCATCACCAGCTAGGAAAGAACCAATGTGCTTTTTGCGAGGAATAAGGGCATTGGAAAAGAGATTGTCCAAAGGTCAAAGAGAAGGAGAATGACAAGAAAAAGGGTCCGAAGGTCAATGAGGTGAATGTTGCGAAAGGTGATGATTCCGATGATTCGAGCTTTTCTCTTTTGATTACTCCAGAGGTGAACCATTTGGATGCATCGGATTGGATGCTTGATTCTGGCGCTACTTATCATGTGACCCCTAGGCAAGATTGGTTTGTATCGTTTGAGAGACTTGATGGGGGTGTTGTTATCACGGAAAATGATCAATCCTGTGGTATTTGTGGGATAGGTACCGTGCAGATTCGAATGCACAACAGAGTAGTCTGCAAATTGAAGGAGGTGAGATTCGTTCCTCAGCTAAAGAAGAATCTTATCTCAGTTGGAGCTTTGGAGGCGAAGAGATTCAATGTGACCTTTGAGGACGTTGTGGCAAAAGTTACTAAGGGATCTTTAGTGGTGATGAAGGGAGTCCGCAGACGGAACTTATATTATCTGAAGGGGAGCACCGAGGTTGGCCGGGTTGCTTCAGCTATTTTAAAGGTGAACATGAGCAGGCTTTGACACTACAGGTTGGGGCATACAGGAGAGAAATCACTGCAGGCTTTGTGCAAGTAGGGGCTATTGAATGGAGCTAATAATGGAAAAGTGGATTTCTGTGAGCACTGTGTTCTTGGCAAGAAAACAAAGGTAAAGTTCGGGACTACTATTCATAGGACGAGGGTATCCTGGACTACGTGTACACAGATGTTTGGGGTCCCACCAAGACGGCATCACTTGGTGGTCTACATTGGTTCGTCATGTTTTTTGATGACTATTCTAGGAGTTATTGGGTGTACACCATGAAGCATAAGAATGAAGTCCTAGATTTGTTTGTGAAGTGGAAGAAGAGATTAGAACTGCAGACTGAGAGAAAGATCAAGACGTTGCGATCCAACAATGATGGCGAGTACACTTCAGACCCCTTTCAGCAGCTATGTCGAGATGAGGGCATAGAGAGGCACTTCACAGTTAGTCATACACCGCAGCAGAATGGGGTGATAGAAAGGCTGAATCGGTCTTTACTGGAAAAAGTCCGATGCTTATTAGCGCATAGTGGTTTGGAGAAGATCTTTTGGGCTGAGGCACTTTCATATGCGAGTCACCTCATTAATAGGCTGCCTTCATCTGCGATTGAGGGGGAAACCCCTATAAAGATGTGGTCGGGAGAGACAGCACATGATTATGACTAGCTCAAGGTATTTGGTTGCCCTGCATATTATCATGTTAGAACTGATAAGTTGGAAACTCGAGCTAGGAAGACCATATTTGTAGGATTCAAGCGTGGTGTCAAGGGATACAAGCTTTGGGATCCAACTGATAAGAAGATTGTATTGAGTAGAGACGTCACGTTCGATGAAGCTTCT